AGCTGGCAGATCGACAAAGTACACTGCTGAGGGGAGCAGCGGGCGGGTCAGGAGAGGTCTGCCGCACCATGTGGGTCAACTCAAGGTCAGGGATCAAACTCATGCTGAAGTGGCTTTAGCTTCTCAATGCCGTGCTTTAACCCACTGCGCCACCAGGGAGGGGCCCGAATTTTAATATTTTTTATTCCGTTTCTTTGAAGAGTATTGTTGGTATTTCGCAGGGATTGCATTAATTTTACGTTACATTTTTAGTAGAATAGTGGTTTTGGTTCTGTTGTTTCTGCCCACCCATGAGAATGGAATGCCGTTCTTAGCTTTCCATGTCGTGATCTAAATCCTCTCTCGTAACATAATTGTCATTGTGTAAGTCCTTTACCTGCTTGGGTAGGTTAGCCCTAAGTATTTGAGTCTTTTTGAAGCAATTGTAGATGGAATTACTTTCTTAATTTCTTTTTCTTCTGTCTGTTGTTTGTATATAAAAATGCAGCAAGTTTTTATATATTGATTTTGTAACCTGCCAATTTAGTGTATTATCATTTCAAATAGCCTGTAGGGTGAGTCTTTAGGGCTTTCTACATATAATGTGTCATCTGTGAATGATAATTTCACTTCTTTTCCAGCTTGAGTTCCTTTTATTTCCTGTTGTTATCTAAACCCCCTAAAACTAAAACTACTAGTACAAAATTAAACGAATGGTGACAGTGGGCATCCATGATCTTTCCTTGTCCCCGATCTTCAAGGAAAAACTTGCAGTTTTTTTTTTTTTTTTTACCGTATTTAGTACTATATTAGCTGTAGGTTCGTAATAGATGACCTTTATTCTGTTGAGGTAGGTTCCCTCTAGTCCCTTCACGTTTATAGAGTTTTATGGATGGGTGCTAGATCTTATCTTACGCAGTCCTCTATTTTTAAAACATTAAAGACAGATTTGAGCCCTCTCTCCTTTCTCATTCCTCCTAGAAATTGACTGTCTGTCCCAAATTTATTGCTCGCCTTTCCTTCCCATAACTTTATAACTTCACTATTTATCAGGCGGCCATATATACCATAAAGTATGCATAAGCTTTCTGTTCTTCAAACCACATACTCTGTTTTTTTCTGCACCTTACTATATACTTACCATTATGCTTTGATACCTGTGGCTCCGGTTCTGACATTCTTGCTGCTGCATATAGCATATTGTGAGAAAATGCCACAACCTAGAGACCTAATCTCCTGGTGTTGGACACTGTTTCCAGTTCTTTGCTCTTTCAGAGGAGGCCTCAGTGAATACTTGTGTCTATTTGCATGCCCAAAAGAGAAGCACTGTTGGGATGGAGGGTGGGTCCATCTTCAAATAGACCTTCCCTGGGCTTCCCACAGAGTTAGTATTAACCACAGACTTTTTAGCTCCACAGAGACACTGCAGAACACAGTAAGGCCTGTGGGCCTCATTCTGCCTATGTTCTTGAAACACTAAATTTCATCCTGTCTCAAACTGCAACCTTTGACTTCCCCTACTTACACCACTCCAGTTCTTCCTGACATAACTGGCTGATTCCTGTTCATGCCTCAGTCCATCTGAAATGCCACTGCTCAGGGGTATCTCTGCCCGCCAGGCCACATCACCATCCCCACCCCCACCCCCTGCTGTGTTTCCCACGCTCCCATCTGTCTCTCATCAGAACATCTGGTGCCCTTTAGGTCCTTCCTTGCAGTGCCCACATCCCTGGTAAACTGGAGCTCCGAGCGGGCAGGGCCACCCCGAACCAGTCATCATCAGCTCCCCAGAGGTCCAACTCGGCAGACGAGGGAGTGTGTGAACACACATCTTCGTGCCTAATTTGCACCAAAGCAGGTTTATATGAAGGGTAATTCTCATACAGTACAATTCACTCTTCACTCCTTAGAGTCCTGGCAATCAGGATATGGACCAATGTCATCATTCTCCCCAAATTCCCTCATGCCACTTTGTCGTCTACTGCTACCCCTCACCCATAGCAACCACGGATGTGGTTTCAGTCCCGCTGCTTTACTTTTCCAGAATGTCATCTAAAGTGTATCACCCAGGACATAGCCTTTGAGTCCATCACTGGTGTCTAAGTTATGCTAGTCACAGTGGGAGAAATAGCAGTGCATCAGGAAGATAGCCGTTGCGGTGGGAGGTTTCCTTTATGGGAACAAATAAATTTGGTCCATTTTAATAACTCCTTTTTTTTTTTTTTAATCAAGTTCATAGTGTATTTACTTAGCATCAAACATGAAGTGCTGAGTTGATTCCACACTACAATCCAGTCTGCATTTTTTCAGGAAGGAAACCAGGATGTTCCAAGAAATTAAAAATCCTACTCAAGATAACATACTTGACTGGTGGAGGTCACCTCCACCCCTGTGTTCAGCACCTTAATGGCCAAGCCTGAAACTCCCTCTTTTCATCATTTTCATCATATTGAAGGGAGCAGTTCAAAAGTCTTGATGTTAATTGCAGAGCTTCTTTTGCTAATTTTTGGGGAAAAAGAAAAAGTATTCTTCCTGTCTGTGGAAACTGTTTCTGGTTCTGTCAAGATACCGAGAAGTGTGGCAGCCAACTGACCACCGGGCAGCAAGCGGCCAGGGCCCGACACAGCCGTCCCACCAGGGTGTGTTGGGCACTTATTAATGGGCACCCCGTTGTTTTGCTGGTGGAGCTGGGGTGTTTAGTGGAGGAGATAGCTTTCTAAAGAACGGCTCTTTCCTTCCAGTGTGATGTTCTGAGAGCATCGTCGCCTGGTGGTGCCTGCCATGGGTCTGTCTGCTATGGCATCTGTCCGTGCCTATCTAAAAATGCGGTCTGAGCCTTGCTTCTGTGACGTGCGACACCGGGGTGCTTGTGTCGCATGTGTCTGTCAGCAGTGAAATGGTCCCCCGAGAAGAACACTGCTTCAGGTTGTCTGTCACGTTTTAGACCAGAGACTCGGAGTCCTCAGGCAGCACATGCCCCCCGCATTTCACGGCCCAGTCAGGGTTTTGATCTGGGGGGTTTTGCATTATCCGTGGTCACGGTGGGGAGCACAGATGGATACCGGGAATGTGCGGGGGGGGGGGGGCCTCCTCCTCTGGTTCCTCATGGCAAACAGGCAAACACGCATGCGGGTGGCTTGCTGACAATGCCTGGAAGGGAGAAGCGCGCAGCCGCAGCGGTCACTCGGGGAGAGCTGCCCATGCCCAGGACGCAGACAGAAAGCGCTGGGGCTGCCGCGCGGGGCCGTTTGTTAGCCGGGCGGCCATACTTTTGACCTTGCTGTGGGTTAAAGGACACAAACCTGAGAAGAAATCTGTTTATCATGTGGGGAATTCATGCCACCCTTGACAGTATACAGTGAGCAAGATGGATGATCTGCCAAATCGGTCCCTCGCATGGGTGAATCAGGGCAAATTTACAGTACAATTCCTTTGCTGCTTCAGATACAAAAATAACATTTGCCGGGTTTTATATCCAGTTGTATGATGACCTGAAGGTGAGCAGAGAAGAAATCCGATTTGTCGGATTCGTATTGCCTTAAAGATTTATATGGACTATTTCTGCCGTTTACATCTGTTTCTTTTACATCTTTCACAAACCACTGGGTTTTTTTTTAACCTGGTTTTCCAGGTTGAGGACACAGGTTGAGGTGATGGCAGAGCTCTGTGCCAATTTAGGCAATAAACGGGCTTCCTGGCTGAACGATAGCTCTTCTGTTTGGGATTGTTGTTCTTGCTGGGTATTTACAGAAATGCCCCTCGTATTTGGAACACCTTTCCCATCCTCTCGAGTTCAGAGTAGGTTATTTGGGATGTCAGTGTCCAGCAAGGAGCACTCCAGTTACATGGGCCACTGAGATGCAGTTGTTACTCCATGCTGTGTTTTCTGGGTAGTCTGGCAGCAAGTCATCTTGGGGTGCCACCCCTGTGTGCGACGTTCAGTGGAGGGCCTGTCCTCCAAGGCTTTCTCCATGAGACAACACCTGGCGCGGCCCCTCGCCCATGGGGTGAGGGGTCTTGTCAGTGCCCTGGAGGGAGGGGCGGGCATTCCAGGGAGACCCTGAGAAAAGGCAGTATGGACCAGGGCTAGGACTGCAGCACCCGGTCACTTTGCCTTTTCCCCCGGGACACCGTCTTTCTCTGGAAACCTGAACATAGCCAAAGACTTTACCTTAGACAGCCCTAAGCTAGACCAGACATCAGGGTTTACAGGTGGCGGCCCTCACAGAGGCCGGGGAGGGCCACTCACCGACAAGTTCAGGGCCGGGCTGTGCGCTGGCCGCCAGAACAGGACAGACCGTCTGGGGGAGGGGCCTGTTGCCCGCCCTCCCTCTGGTAGCCCACGTGGCTATAGCACAGTGCAGACCAGCAAAGGCTGCTGCCCCTGCCCACCCTGGACTCCAGGGGAGCAGAGTGGCGCTCCGTTCCGTTGGTCCCCTTGGGGTGACACAGTGGAGTCACGTCACAGTGAAACCCAGCTGGGGCTTCTGAGGCTCAACTCTGAGCTGCTGGAGGCCAGCAGCCGAGACCTCAGGTCTTCTTTTAAAGGGTTTCATTACTGTGGTGCCCACACAATGCATACGGCCCTCATTTAAAATGATAAGTCCGTTCATTCTGTTATGGAAATTATGGACAGATCAAGCATGCCCATTATAATCTAGCCAGAGTGCTTCTGAATTATAGAATTATGGGGTTCCATTAGAAGAAATCGTGACAGTGATAGCATATGATCAGTATGACAGATTTTTCAACAGAATGCCCTTATATTGAACCTTCACAGACATTTTGTTGAAATCTCTGGCTCTTCTTGTTGCTATGTGTGTTGTTGTTTTTAATACAAGGAAAAAAGAGGTTACTCGCAATCAAAAAACCATGACACAATTCATATAGACCCATAGACTGCCATGCTGTAGCTTTCTCATGCAGGACGTTTAATTAGCATTTTCTAGATGAGGAAAGTTGGTGTGCATGGTCAAAGACAGCTATTTCCAGCTTCAGCTTTTTGTGTGCTTTAATTACAGAAAGCACTCCAAAGACCTCCGCCAGCTGCAGCCCCGCACCCGAATCACCGATGAGCTCTAGCGAGTCAGTGAAGAGTTTGACTGAACTGGTCCAGCAGCCCTGCCCCCCCATTGAAGCAAACAAGGATGGCAAACCCCCAGAACCCAGCGACCCGCCCACTTCAGACTCCCAGCCCACCACCCCACTGCCTCTCTCCGGACACTCAGCCCTCAGCATTCAAGAGCTGGTGGCCATGTCCCCAGAGCTGGACACCTACGGTATAACCAAGAGGGTCAAGGAGGTGCTGACGGACAACAACCTCGGTAGGTTCCTCCCGGCCGCTCTCTCGGGAGGCAGCAGGGCACTCACTGCCTGTTGTCTGGAAGAATGGGTGGAAGGGGCCCCAGGCTGAGCCAGCCAGAGGCTTCGGTGTTGACAGGTGGCCGCTGAGAGCACAGACATCCTGCACTTGTGAACAGCGAGAGACTTACAAGGGGCCGAAATTTCAAAGTTCAGCCCCGCCTGCACCCCCTCCTTGTTCCCCAACAGGGAACCTCTTAGACAGAGAACCCAGGCCATCAGAGAACCCAGAGAGAACCCAGGCCATCAGACAGAGAACCCAGGCCATCTCTGGCCATCTTCTCTGGTCACCCTAATTCACTCAGTAGAATGCCACATTTTTGTGAGCCCCAGAGACAGGCAGAGTCAACATCAGCCCAGCAAATCTGGATGATTTAGTGAAAATGTCCACAGGCTGGGTGAAAATTCTGACTCTTCCCCTTACTGTGTCTGTGATCTGCCCTCTGTTAGCTCACGGTCTGTCGTCCCTGCTTCCTCGTGAGGTTGTCTCCGTTCCACAGCCCCTCCCCCTGGTTGCAGACCCAGGCCCCAGGCCCCAGGCCCTGCCTGTGGCTGGCACATCCCAGACACTGCCAGAGGCAACTCACTGAGGGCTGTGGCATTGCTAGCCTGTAGCTGTGGCTGAAAGGATATTAATGTTTTATCCTTTCAAACCAATTATGACCCCGTCATTTAGAATGGACCAGACCGGTTCTCTTGGCTTAGGCACCTAGAGAATGGAAACGTCCACTCCCCAAATACTGTGTCTTCCTTACTTCCCGATACTAAGGTCAGTTCAGCACCATTCTCTGTAGTGCTTGTTAAGACAACCCCAAAGAGTGCTTGGCGTTGGGAAGAGCAGGGAGGTGAGTGGCAGTAGTTTTGTGTATGGTGACTTGGGGTCAGGGCAGCTTATCCATCCCACTTCTTGTTCAAAACAGAAAAAAAATATAACATCCATTGAGAGCATTTTGAATTAAATTAATTTATGCAAATAAACCTTCAGCTACTTGATTTTTTGAAGGACTGGGTTCACTGACCGTTGAGACATGCAGAGGGGCCTGCGCAAGGCCTCGCAGTCGGTCACAGGTCTGAGGATGAGGGCCCGATGCAGTGCTGCACCCACACCCTAGGGACTCCCGAGGACTTGGGTTTGAAACTTACAGAAACCACAGGCCTGCAAAATCAGCAAATGTTGCTAAGTTAAAATGACCGACGCCAAAAAAAAAAATTGCTTTTTTCGGGCCCAGGGCTTTCCTGCACGAAGCTTCTCCCTGGACCCTGCTTTCTACCAGGCAGAGCTCTGCTGCCTCCACACAGCACAGCCGTCCGCAGGCACAGACGGCAGGCCGCTGCTGCACGGGGAGTGTCTGCCACCCCCGGCCATGCCGCCGCCCGGGAAAGGCCACAGTCTGTCCCCCTGTCGTGGTCCCCAGGCCCCGTGGCCCCAAACATGAGCCTCTCTGATCTGGTCTCCATTTCTGTCTAGTAAGTGCTGCTCACTTACACTCTTGCGCCAGGTCATTCAGGTTATCCCTGGTACTCTTTTGTGCCTTTGAGGGTGGAGGCCCCTCTTAACCCGCAACTGAATGACTCTTAGAGGAGACGTTTTCTTTTTAAACTTCTGATGAACATCGCAGACTTAAGCTGCTGTGCCCTCCAGAGCGAAATGCCCTGAGGAGTCTGGGCGGCGGGCTGCCGGAGGACAGCCTTCGAGGGTGGGGCTTGGAGCCACTCCGAGCCACAGCGGCTTAGACAGCTGGGACGGCAGGAGCGAGCTTTAAGCAGTGGGAATGGCCCGCCTTTCAGAAAGGCGGAGTGAGGAGCTTGCCCTCCTCTTTCCTGCTGTGATCGTGGGTCAAGTGGGCCGTTTTCGCACCAAGACCTGATAACCTTGCAGATGGTGAAAGGAGACGTGCAGCAGCCTGTGGTTTGAGGTTGTACAGGAGCGGTCTCCCTGTGTGCTGCTTAACCTCCTGAGCTTGGTTAGGGATTAACCAAGCTGACAAGTGCCCTGGGTGATTTCCAGGCCTCCTCAGTTCACCCAGAGCCTGAAGGCTTTATCGAGAGCGGCATTGTATTACCAGCAGAACAGAAGAGTAATGCCGACCCCATCGCCAGTAGGGTCCCGTTGAAGAAATATTTCTCAGAGTGCTGACTCCAAGCCGGGACTCAGCTGACCAGACTCTGGGCCTTTAAAATCCTGTGTCTGATTTTAACTTTGCCACAATCTAGTCCTTCCAGATCCCAGGACCTCAGAAATGACCCTCTTGGTTCTGTGTTCTCTCTAGGTCAGCGCTTATTTGGGGAGACCATCTTGGGGCTCACCCAAGGCTCCGTCTCTGACCTCCTTGCACGCCCAAAGCCTTGGCACAAGCTCAGTCTGAAGGGACGGGAGCCCTTTGTCCGGATGCAGTTGTGGCTGAATGACCCCAACAACGTGGAGAAGCTGATGGACATGAAACGGATGGAAAAGAAAGGTAACTCCCCACCCGCTGCCCGCTGCTTTCTCGTTTACAAATGCGTTGCGTCTCCTAAAGCCTTCTGCAGGGCTGATGGGGGACCCGGATCTGTGACTGCCGAGGGACTGTGAGGCAGGGCAAAGGACTGTTTCGACTGTCATCTAGCCAAAGGGGTAGCCAAGAAGATTTGTGGTTGTTTCTGCCCAGCAACCTGAGCCCAAGGACTCGGCATCGGGGGAGCACTTTAGTGACTGCTCACAGTCAGCCCGGCAGGCAGTGTGCCCTTGTTGTTCCTCAAGGAGATGAGGCCCCAGGAAGCCATTGCAAGGCTCGGTGTGGCCCCCGGTTGTCTTTTGCCTGTCGGGTGAGTGGGTAGCGCAGCGCTCACGGTACATACACCACACACCTGCGGCTTCCACGTAGGGGAAATTAATGGCATGTCATTAGTGAGCACAGGTTCAGAGAAGTTCATTGCCTCCACTGAGGTCACTGGCCTAGACAACAGCAGAACAAATTCAAGAGCAGGTTTCTTTCCTGTTCCTTTTTTTTTTTTTTTTTTAAGATTTATCTATTATGCATATAGAACTTGGGTGTAGGCCAGAGGTGCAGGTGTAGTGAGAGGTCACCAGAGACAGAGTGGGGAGCAGAACAGGCTGATTTTGATGAAGCACACCGCTGAGGGGAGCAGCGGCGGGTCAGAAGAGGTCTGCCGCGCCATGGGGGTCACCTCTGGGGCGGGAATCGAACTCACACTGAAGCAGCTGCGCTAGCTTGCAGTGCTGCGCCCTAGCCTGTTGAGCCACCAGGGAGGCCTCCTATTGCTTCTTAACGGTCTGTGAGGCTGCACTTGGCACAGCCTCCCGACGGCTACATGCAGCTTCTGTGCCCCAGTGCATCCGGAACCCTCTCACATGTTGGCCAGCATTCTTCCTGCACCCTGGGGCTACCACACAAGAGAAGTCCTGAGGGGAGTCCTTGGGCGAGTGACGCCAGCGCCTCTCAGGGGTCACACGTCCACTTGCTGCTCCTCCTCAGTCAGAACCCAGTCTCGGGTCACCTGCCGCACTGGGAGTGCTCATGGCTGAATCCCATCGAGGGGGGACGGGGCCCAGCTGCTGGTCTGGCCACAGGCTTGAGCACCCTCCCGAACCTGCTTCTGCAGTCGCTCTCACAGCCACCCCTGCGGCTGCACCTGCCCTAGCACACCTGAGCCCCTGCTGCAGCCCAGTCCACCAGGAGCATCTGCCACTCACTGCCAGCCAGGCATCTGTGCTCTCGCACAACCAGGGGAAGTGCTGGAGCTCCCGGGAGGAGCCAGAGTCTCTGGTGTCTCTTCCAAGAATGGAGACTCCATCTCCTGCCTGCCTTGTCTTTGCTAGGCAAGATGCTGGGATTGCACTCACTCCAGGCAGCTCTCCCCAGTACAATGTATTTTCTGGAGAAAAGGAGGCCCAAGAATTATAAAACTTGCCTGACTTCACTAGCTGGCGTAAGTGGGGGGCAGGAACCCTAACTTAGGGCTGTCAGACTTCAGCCTAGTGTGTGATCGGCTGCCCTGTCTGAACACGTCACATGGGGCTCATGGGGCTGTGTACCCGGGCAGCCACCTTCCACCCCTCTCGGGCTCCAGTCTGGCCCCCCTGTGTGCCAAGGCTCTGGCACAGGCCACGCCCCTCAGGCAACTCCAGGCAGCTTCAAACCCGAGCGGCTTGGGGCACGCCAGCCCCCAAATGTTTTAGCTTCATTATGGGAAATTTCAAATATCAAAGGTAGAGACAGTGGTGTGACGAACCCGGTATACCCATTACCGAGTTCCAGCATTATCCGTACCCAGCCAAGCAGTCGTGAAGTGTTGTGCTCTAAAAGCTGAGCCGTGCTCTTGGTGAGCGCCAGCAGCACCCTCCTGGCGCCAGCCCTGGGTCTACCACCCCCTGCTGTGTTTCTTCTTCTGGGCCAGTGGAAAGGAACCTCAGCCCCACAAATAGCTCTTCAGGGACTCCCTGGGCCTCCAGTCCTGCGTCCACACAGGCTCGGGGCGCCATCTTGTGTTATAGAAGAGTTATTGTTTGCGCTTGGCCCTCACATCCCAAGGTCCCTTTAGGGCACCTTTTAAGTGACTGTGGCCCCCAGGGTCCTCGCCTTAGAAGATGCCACTCAGGAGCCCTGTGCAGCCCAGGGGAGACCAGCCGCCTGCCCCTGGTCATCTGCCCGGGCTTGGTGGGCACTGACAGACGGGCCAGGCCAATTGTTTCTGGCCTTTGACTTTTATCATATTCATTTTCTTTAGCGGGGAATCTGCCTTCTCAGTTGTTTCCTAGGTCTGAGGCCATAATGGCAAATTCCTGAGTAACTCCCTGGTCTGAGCTTCTCCATTGTGAAACAACACTGCTCACCTTCTCAGGTTGGGAGGATTAGAAACAGCGTTATCTAGGGTAACAACCAGCACGCATACGTGCTCAGTAAAGGACAGTCACCACCATAATGTCTCCCTTTAAAGTAAATGCGGATAAGCTGTGCTCTCAGGCTCGCCGCGATTCAGCATCAGGCAGCTGGGGCTACAGGACCCTCGTGAGCACTCAGCTGCGCCTCCAGCACTGGGCTCTCCATGTTGCTTACATCTCAGCGTGCTAGCTTCTTCCCTTCTGCCCCTCCGGCCTTCTTTCTCTATGCTGGCCTGCCCTGTCTTTCTTCCCGAGATGACCCTCGAGCCAGTCTGACCTCACGGACACGAGCAACTGGATGTCCAGGTGCAGACGCGGCCTAGCTCACGGCGGGGCTCCTCCCTGGTGGCTAGCTGGGCCCCACGGACAGTGGCCCTGAGACGTTTATTTGAGGCCGGCTGGTGCCGCAGAAGTGTGTCGCCTTGCTGGGTCCCTCTGGGTGGGGCAGGGCCGGGGCTACTGGCCATCTGGCAGGGAGGACAGGCAGCACTTGGGGCGGGCTGAGGTCGTCAGCCCGGTCTTGCTCTCGAGCTGTGTGACCTAGGCAAACCAGTCAGCTTGCCTTCGCTTTCTTCAGGTATAAGTTGGGATGATAATGGTCTTCTCCCGTCACGTAACTGAGGACCAAATGATAAATGTAGCTGCTGCTGCCGCTGCTGCCAATACCCCCTCACTAGTACCTGCCATCTGGATTACATAAGGCCTCTTCCATCAGTTTCAGTGGAGCCAGACTGTATTCCAAACTAGTCCCCTAGAAAGATGGATGTGGATGGGCTCATTTGCTCAAGAAAGCCATTTGCAACTGGTGCTTAGCTTGAAGCGTTGCTGGTAGTAAATGATGCAGGGCCAAAGAGAGGTTCCACTCAGGAGCCCCCTCCTGTGTTCTGGAGGTTCCCTCGGCACACCCTGGCCCCAGCAGCACCCGGGCCTGAGTCAAGCCCATCTCCTTACGCCACCAGGCCCTGCTTCCCCCACCCCCACCCCCCGTCTGCAGGTCTCCAGCTTCCCTCTGCCGTAGTTTACCCGGTGGAGCGCAGACCATTGCCATCCTCCCTGCTCAGGTATCGCCACACTCAGGGCACGGCCCTCCGACCCTCCTGGCTCCCACGCCTCGAGTTCCCTAACCTCTGACTGTTCTACAGCTCCACAGACGCAGTCCCCAGTCTCCAGCTATCTTTGCATCCCCCGTGCAGAGAGCACTCTGGGTTCTTATCGAACCTCCCTTTATGGCGCTGAGACCGTCATCTCACTCGTCCTCCTGCCCCCTCGGCACCCCGCATGGCTGCTGCTTCCCCGGAATAGCCGCTGCCTGTGGGTGTCTCCCAGGGTTCTGCTTGCCGCCCTTCTTCTCTCTGACACCACGGACTTCGACTACAATCTCTGTTCTCTTCTTTTAAATCAAAGAAGCACTGCCTTACAACACTGTGTCCGTTTCAGGCTGCAGCATTAAAAGTCAACACGTGTACACTACCCTGAGTTCCTCTCTGTCCTGGACCGTACACTGGACGCTTACCGTTTCTGCTCTGGTGGTTCCAGGTTGCTTTCTGGGCCAGACCTACGGTCTGCCTGCCAACGTGTCAGCGTAGAGAACCCAGAGATGGCCCACTAACCGCACATTTTCTGAGACAAACAATCACCTTCAGCCTGTTATCTGCTCCCCAGGAGACACCCTCAGCGCTCCCCAGCACCTCCCCTAGCCTGCCACCGGTCCTGTCACTTCTACCCTGAGCATCCCACATCCTCTTCCCCCGTTGCTACCTCCTTTGTTCAGACCTTCTTAGGTTTTGTTTTGTTTTTTAAAGATTTATTTATTTATGCATACAGAACTGGGGTACAGGCCAGAGGTGCAGGGGCGGTGAGAGGCTTCACCGAGACAGAGCAGGGAGTAGAACAGGCTGACTGACGAAGTACACTGCTGAGGGGAGCAGCGGGCGGGTCAGGAGAGGTCTGCCGCGCCATGTGGGTCACCTCCAGGGCGGGGATCGAACTCGTGCTGCAGTGGCTGCGAGAGCTTCATAATGTGGTGCTTTAACCCGTCGCGCCCCAGGGAGGGCCCAGACCTTTCCCTCTTCCCCTAAGTGAATACCTTCCTCCCACTTCTTCCCACTCCACCTCACTCCTCGGACGTGGGCTGAGCGACCTTTCAAGAACAGGTAGCTGGCCACATCGTTCCCTTAACTTAAAATTTAACTCAGTTCTTCCCACTGCGTCCCAGGGGAAGTCCAGACTTTTGGTCAGCCCCTCTGCCTGTCTCGTCTGGGATGTGTCAGATGACACCGATCCTGCCGCCCTGCGCACACACGCAGGCCCTGCCGGCGCACGTCTCCGTGTCTCTGCCCGCGCTGCTCCACCTTCTGGGGCCTCCTCCTGCCACCTTCACGCTCCTCGCCATTGCTCCTAGCCAATCCTTCCTTGCCCCTCAAGATGCAGCGTGAGCATCATCTCTCTTGGGCACCCCCGACCCCTCCCAGAGGGGTCTGAGCCCTCTTCCTCTGTTCCCCCTCTGTGGTACCCCGCACTGCCACGCCCTAGCTGTGTGCCTCTGTGCCCGGGCTAACATGCTGCACTGGGCAGGCGGGCGGGGAGCCCCGGTGTCACAGCGGCTCCCCAGTGCGTGCGGCCTTCAGGATGGTCTCGCCCCCATGCCTTGATGCTGTCGAAGGAGCAGAGCAGCCAGCCAGCTGCCGCAGAAGCAATCTCACACTGTGGCATGCGTGTCCAGGGGTCGGGGTCGGGCACACCTCACAGGGCCTGCTCCTCAGTCTCTCTCCTCTCCCTTCCTCAGCCTACATGAAGCGGCGGCACAGCTCGGTCAGCGACAGCCAGCCCTGCGAGCCGCCCTCCGTCGGCGTCGACTACAGCCAGGGTGCCAGCCCGCAGCCCCAGCACCAGCTGAAGAAACCCCGAGTGGTGCTGGCTCCAGAGGAGAAAGAAGCTCTGAAGCGAGCGTATCAGCAAAAGCCATACCCGTCACCAAAAACCATCGAGGAACTCGCCACCCAGCTCAACTTGAAAACCAGCACCGTCATCAACTGGTTCCACAACTACAGGTCCGTCCCGCCCCGGCCCCCACGGCGTGGTGCGTGATCAGGTAGTGGGCGCTGTGCAGAGATGCAGCGCCACATGGCGGCAGTCCGCGTCTGTGTGGGGTGCCGGCCCCGAGTGCTGAGCCAGGCCCCCAGTGGCTTTCTGGTGTGTTCTCGGGTCTTTTTCCATATGATTTTCCACACTAGTTTGATCCGCTTTTTAATGAAATAAGCAGTGCAAGGCGCTTACTTTGAGGAAATTTCTCGAGGGAAGATTTATTCAGCATTTGCTAGATCGCCAGGTACTGAGCCACGTGTTTAAACCAACACTGTATCCCTTGACCCTCACAACTATTATGAATGATAGACATTACTGCATCTTACAGATGAAACTGCATAATTCAGGGGACATGACTAACCCCCTTGAGCAGGTCAGGACCCAGGGCAATCTTGTAGAAGGTAGACTGGGGCAAAAGGCTGGAAAAAATCATGGAAAGCCACTGAAAGACAATGCATTTGTTGACTATGACCGTAACCAAGACACCCTGCTGATAAAGCCAAGGCTTCTCAGCGGCCAGTGGGAAGTCCTGCTTGATAAATGCTTTGTAGGTGGCCAGCTCAACTGCTAGCTCTCTTCAGAACATGGTTTCCTCCAGGGCTCAATAAATCTGGGGTGGGAGCTCCTGCTCACGCCAGGATGCCAAGTTGACCTGTGTAGCCGGCATGGGCAGGGCCTCCTGGTCACTGAATGTACATCACAGTCAGGGACCAGCAGGGGAGCATGTCCGGCTGCCATGTCTGCAGGATAAACTCTGCGAAAATTCCTGAAGGGGCCCAATAAATCTCCCAAGTTCTAAACAAATGAGAAAGCTTTAAATGTTAGCTAGATATAAGCCAAAATAACATCATTATTGCTGACGAAGGCTCCGTTGGCAGATGCGTGAGAGCCAAACAGACCCACTGCCGGACCCCTAGAGCCAGGCAGAGAGGTACCCATCGTGGCAGCTCTGGTCCCAGGCAGGCCTTCCCGGGTGCTCCCACAAAGACAGAGAGTCCGAGAGCCTGGCACAACCACCGTACTCATCCTGAATTTACCAGTCAGATAAGAACAGACAGAGTGGGGCCAGCGGTTACGGTGATGAAACTCTGCGTGGAAGGAAACTTCGAGAGTATAATGAGGGCGAACGAATGGAGATGCAGGCAGAGGCTCATAAAGCCTCTCCTCGCCAGGTGTTTCGCAGTCTCACTTTCACTTTCCAGACACAAAGGTACATTGAAATATGTGCTTTGGAGTCTTCTGCGAGCTATACTCATTTTAACACAAGTGTTGTCACTCTGGACAAGTGTTGGGAAGATGTAGGTTACTAAGTATCTGGGCAGAGCTGCTGCCAGCTGCACCAAAAAATCTCCAAAACCATTTCCATGGGCCCTGCTGGGCCACCCTTCCCCTACAGGCCTGAGTTCTGAGCGTCAGGCACCGCCTCCAGCCAGGGACGCACTACAGGCTTCTCAACTCATCTTGCTGGCCCTCTGGTGACTATGGTCACCAGCTGGTCACTTTGGAGAGTCTCTTCTATGCATTTAGCATAAACAAATTCAGCTCTACACCCTTAGCAAAAATAAGAAGGGAAAAAGGAAAAAGAGCAATAGAGTCTCAAAACTTAGCAAATAAGCTCAGGGCTAGATCAAGAATGGATGCTTAATAAATGCTTTCCTTTAGCAATCACCTGAATCGAATAAGTAAATAAAGGGAGGGCCTTCCCTGGTGGTGCAACAGGTTAGGACACAGCACTGCAAGTGAGCTGCTTCAGTGTGAGTTCGATCCCCAGCCCTGGAAGTGACCCACATGGCGTAGCAGACCTCTCCTGACCTGCCCGCTGCTCCCCTCAGCAGTGTACTTCATCAATCTGCCTGTTCTGCTCCCCACTCTGTCTCTGGTGAAGCCTCTTACCACCTCTGTACTCCAGTTCTGCATATATAAATAAATAAATCTTTTTAAAAAAAAAAAAAAAACAGTGAAGAAGAGAGGGCAGTTTATTGTCTAAAAAAATAAAATCAAGGGCAGAGGTTAGCTTCAGCTCTAGAAATCTGGAAAAATCACCTAGAAGTAGATGCACAGGATCTTGGAAGAGGAAATGAACTAAAAACAAATTGTATCAGCTAGAAAGTAAGCCAAGAGGAAAAGTAAGCACCAGGTAGCAGAGAGCTGGCATGAAGCCAAGGAGCTGGGGTCACCTGCTGGGGTCCCTGGGGTGACCTCGGGCCAGCCAGAAGGTAACACGCAGAGTGCATGCTGCTCAGACTGAGCTCGCAGTGTCTCTAGAGCTCCCACCAAGTGTGTACCACCCAGCCTTCCCTGGAAGTCCCCGCGGAGCTTCCAACAGGCCTGGCGCACGACGGCACCCAGCCCACCTGCACCAGTGTGTCCAGTTCCTCAGCGTGGGGCAGGTTCTCACTCTCATTCTACGCGGTTAGAAAAAAAGTTGCTTTTCTTTTCTCCTGCCCTAATATCAACTTTTGCCTCCATCCAAAAATAAGTTTTACTTCCCCTTGTCCTTTCACCCTAAGGACATTGGATGTACCTTTACCCGGGAAGGCTAGAACAACATACCCCAGGACACATGGTCTTCTTCTTCGAGAAGAACATGTCCACCCAGTAGGAACTTCCAGCCCTAAAGCCGTGGTGACCCATGAACCTGGAATAATTTGCCCGAAAACCAGATCTCCTGGGACCTGGTCTTGCTAGACCAGAAATTAACCTCATAAACATGGAGACAGAGCTAGGCTGAGAGGCCGCCAACCACCTCTGTGTGCCAGACGCTGAGCCAGGAGCTTTATCAGCATGTTATCTCCTTGGGTGCCCTGGTCAGCGGCCACTTCACAACAAACTGGCGAGTGTGGCAGCCGGAAGACACCATAGGTGTGAAGCTGTCCTCCCCCTCAGCCCACCCCTGGTACCTCAGCCTTAGCGCTTAGGAAGAGGAGCTGCCATTCAGAGGGCAGCCAGATGGTGAAAGTAGCTTCTTTTTTGGTCTTATGTATATTTTATATTACACGTGAGCATTTTATTTCATCTTAGTATCGTCAAAAGAAAGCTACTGTTCTCCATATCTTTAGGAAAACAGAAACTCATTTAAGTTAAGGAAGTTGCCCAGGTTGCACAGTTAATAAGTAGCAAAGCCAGATTTTAAGCCCAGGTTTGCCGGGACCCAGCAAAGCCCATGCTCTGTCCTTGGCCAGGCCGTCCAGAGAGTCAGAATTAGTGCTCGGTTGGCCTGTACTCCTGCCTCACTAACTCTCAGCTGCCTGGCTAGCTTCACACTTCCCTGACCAGCGTGGGGTTGGGACCAGTGCTCACCGACATTCTCAGATGCCAGGGGTCTTGAAAGCCAGCAAAGGACAGCTTCACCCTCCAGCACAATGCTGAGGACGCTGTTGGCGGGAGCTGCCATTTCATGGGCTTCCGAGGTAGCCCTAGGAAATGAAGAGAGTGTGTTACTCCAGGAACTTCGGGGGCGGGGTCCAGGGTGGGGGGGGGGGTGTTAAGGACCTCACTCTACAGCTCTGGCTCAGAAATCATCTTCACAGTAAGAGCTCAGCCTGTGCAGGGAATATGTAACTGTGTAATGTAACATAACCAGACCAGGGTTCTGCCATGCTGAACTAAACACAGCGGATTCTCCCAAATTCCAACACCCGGGGGCTCTCAAAGGTGGTAGCTTTAGTACATGCTCTGCAAAAAATACTTCCATGCATGCCTGACCCATGGACCTTCTGCAGGCTGTTTCTACCAGACACTTCCTGCTAAATCGCCTGAGGTGCTTTGGTTTTCCACTGACAGTTGGCACATCATCAGAGGTTTTTTCAGCTCTTTGAAAGAAAGACCCCTGAGACCTGTGATTGAGCCTAGACGTGAACATAGTGGCAGGAGAAACATGGAGCAAAAAGACTGAGCAAGACCCCCTTCCCAATGTCAACAGGGCTTCAAACCCTGGAAGGCCAGGACCCTGCTATGGTGTCTCTAGACCCAACAAAGGACTGCAGCTTATTTCCCACTAACTGGACCCAGCTTGATCAAAATTTGCTGAAATACTGCAGCAAGTTTCTGGTTTCCTTGCTTGATCGAGTCACTGTTCCCAGGTCTCCTTTCCAAGGAGGGAACTGTCTGAAAGCACAGTGTAGTGGTGCCCCCAACCCCGCCTCGCCCAGAGAGGAGATCTCACTTTGGGCACCGTCTGATGATTCACTCTCTCTAGTCCTGACGACTCCTCCTGCAGGGCCGTCCGTGTGTTTCTCCAGTCGGCATATACTGCCGTGCATCAAGCGCCGTGCTAGGCCTGAGATGTGCAGGAATAAATAGGAATCTGGGTGGAAGTGGGTGGCACAGAGAGGAAGAGCAGCGTACCAGTAAAAGCTACCTGCCTCTGTCCTGTGGAGAGGGTACCAGCCACCTGACCGAGGGACAGAAGCTGGTAAGCAGCCCGGGCTTTCCTCGGGCTCCTGGCTAGGCAGGGCGAGGTGTGCTGTGTCCTGGAGCAGGGTGCCCTGTCTGAGTGCCCGAGGAGCTGCTGAGATGCTCTCTGCTCCGCTCTGGGTGGTAGAGGCTTCAGGGACTCGCTCCCTGGTTGGGGTGTGAGAGGCAGTGTGTCGAGAGACATGTGGGCGGTGGGAAGAAGGCTCTGGCCAGCCTGTGCTCTTGGCCACCTCACAAGGCCCTCCCACTTCTGTCTTGCAGGTCTCGGATCCGCAGAGAACTGTTCATTGAGGAGATTCAAGCTGGGAGCCAGGGCCAGGCTGGGGCCAGCGATTCCCCATCTGCCCGAAGCGGCCGGGCAGCACCTAGCTCAGAGGGCGACAGTTGCGACGGCGTGGAGGCTACTGAGGGCCCTGGCGCAGCGGACGCCGAGGAGCCGGGCGGCCCCGTGGCCGCCGCCAAGTCTCAGGGAGGGCCCGCGGCCGAGGTGGCCGTGGCCCCAGAAGAGAGGGAGGAGGCACCGCGGCCGGCAGAGAAGACAGAGCCACCGCCCTCGGGGACCCAGACCCCGGACATCCCGGAAGACGAGGGCCGGCCCGGGGCGCCCCGGCCGCCAGTCGAGGGCCCCACGGAGGGCCCGGGGCCCGTGCCAAACCCCGCCGCCGCGCCCACGGCCGGGGAGGACGCCGCTACCTCAGCCGCCCCGCCGGGGGAAGGCCCCTGCAAGGCCCGAGACGGCGCCGACAGGAGTTCCGCTTTGCCAAGCACCAGCGCGCCCGCGGCCACCCGCAGGGCCGGCTCGCTGCAGAGCCTCTTCGGCCTCCCGGAGGCGGCGGGCGCCAGGGACTCCCGAGACAACCCCTTACGGAAGAAGAAGGCCGCAAACTTGAACAGCATAATCCACCGCCTGGAGAAGGCCGCCAGCCGCGAGGAGCCCATCGAATGGGAGTTCTGAGGGGCGCGCCCGCCCTTCTCGCCAAGCAGGGCCGCATCTGGCCGCGCTGGGCCCCGCTGGGCCGGGCCGGGCCGGGCCGGGCCGGGCGGGGCCGAGCCGAGCCGGGCCGAGTCTGGTGGAGCTGGGCCAGGCAGAGCAGAGGGGCGGGGCCTGGACCCTGTCGCGCACTTAACCGCCCTGCGGGCCACAGGGCAAAATCGCCATAGGCCAAGGTGCATATAGAAAACAAAGGAGCATTAAGCCCAATCTATGTCGTGTTTTCAAGGAAGAAAACGGAAATGTGTAGTCAAGCTTTTTTGTACCCTGAAGTGTTTTTTTTATTGCCCTAAGTGATTTCCACAGGTTCTGGAATAACTCTTACAGCTTTGCCTTGCGCCCTCCTCTTTCGTGTGGGCTTTAAAAAAAAAAAATCAAACCCACATATTAAAAGGGGGCTTTTTATCTGCCATCTAATGGCTTCAGAGCGATAATACACTATTATCTTCTTAAACCAGGAAAAGGGGGGGGGGATTTTTCAGAAAAATTAAAAAAGAAAGTTTTTGTAGCTGTTCAGTTGCCACTAAGAGATTGCACAGTCAAACCGACTCTAAACACACTAGTTTGGATTCCTAAATATTTTCAAGTAAAGAATCTTCTCGTTTGAAACTTTGAATTAAAATAAAACACATTTACTCCACATATTTTTTAACAAAAAAGAAAAGTCACATCAGGAAACTATCTGATTTTGTGGTAGCTGACGTAGTGTTTTCTTGTACGTGAATAGAATCCTGACATGTAGTGCACATTGATCCATAGCTTTAACTGACTCTGGGCTTTTGCTGACCAGGGTTTGTTTAATACACTCCATTCTAGGCCAAATCAGGACAAAAAGAAAAGATCCGAATCTAGGTATTTTATAATCTGCTTTTTAACCTCTAACCGCAGAGCACGCTGATCAGACCTCATATCTCGGAGGTTTAGGAGACAAGTTAGAACTGTAGCATGTTCCCGTTCATTTTGTTTGATTGATGGTGTCTACATCCTGTGTTAGTGCATCTGCACATGTAGGAGCATTTAAAGACAAGAGGAAAGAGTAGGCCCCTAAGGTGGCAGCAGGCCGGTCTGGGGCCAGATGGGCCCACCCCTCGTAGACAGCAGCCTTTCCTTGGCACAGAAGACACCACACCTCACACCACTCTCCCGGGCGCCTGATGGACTGAGCCCCACCAGGGGACGCCGCTCCCTGGGCCTGGGCAGGGCTCGAGCGCACTCTCTCTTCCCCTTTCTCCCCACCACAAGCACTGATGACTGTTGACTCCGCGGGAAGCTTCCTTCCTGCCGAAGAGAGAGAACGTGGCAGTCTGGGCTCTGCTCCCACCCCCGTAGAGAAGGCCCAAACTCACACCAAAACGCTGATGCTCTTCGCTTCCAGACCAGACCATTGGCCCTCCATTCACTTTGCCTCTCGGAACGTTCTTTTATGCACAGTTTAGGGCAGTCTTAAGTACAAATCAAAAGTCTAACTTGTCTCTGATTCCTCCTGTTGTCTATGTGTATATGCGTGAGAATAGAGGTGGATGAGAGTGTGCGTGTGTGCGTGTGTGCAATTTTATACGTCTGTGTATTTTCTTAAGTACCTGTGCACACATAGAGTGCATTACTGCCACCTTTTTTCAATAAGCTGTTTTATCAGTTATGGCTTCTACAAGTTTGCTAATTTAGACTCCTTTATTGCCATATCTTTAAACTAACAATAGATGATTTCGGTATATATATATATTTTTTTTTTGCTTATTTATAGGTGCTGTATTTTATTATCTGATTGTTAGGAAGGGATGAAAGGGGCAAATATTCTTTAGAGGGATAGACTGCCGGCAGTATTGGGTATAATTTACAAGATGTAGTTGTCATACTGTATATTACTGATTGAAAACTTTTTGACCGTATTGTGTATCATTGAAACCTTTGTCTTAGGTCAACATCTTTGGATGACATTTTAATGGTGCATTCATTATTTCTTAAGTTTAATTAATATTACCTTTTTTGATTTGGGGGGGTGGGAGGGAGTTATAATTTTAAAGGTATGCTCCCGCTATTACACCTCAGTGTGCTTGTATTAATTAACTTGTAGGACTTTGACTGTAAGATGTGAAACCACATTTCTTGCATGATGTTTTAGAAATTATGTATTTCATTTACAGTCTTTTAACCTGCAACGGCAGCACTTAGTTCAAGTTTTCACAAATTTAAGAGTCACTACACTAAAGACAATGCCTTTTCATGAATAAGAAGTTTTCAGAAGGCTCTAGGAGGCTGGGAGGCAGGCCGTTTGTCTTTTGATGCTTGCATCACCTCTGAACTTGAAATCTGGTTCAGTGAGAAGAGAATTCACAATGGAGGAGCTTAGGGGAAACGGATTAACATCTGGCTCAATTCAGGTGCATCAAGAAGGGCGAGTTTGCGTTTGCTTGCGTTGGGACAGTGAGTAGCAGAGCCCCTGACAGTTCTGTGGTGTCCTCTCCACAAAAACCTCGAGGGAATTTTGCCATCACAAGCGATGAATTTCTGAGTATCTCATTTTCGTTAGAATGAAAAGCAGGGAATTAAAACAGGAAATCCTAGGGTAGTGTTTTAATTTTAAAGGCATGACTGTTAATTACAAAGGTGTTAAATCCAAGGAAATTGAAAAAGTATAAATAAGTCCATCCTCGTGGCCAAATAGCAACAGCCTAAGACAGCCACTTTGGCTCTTCCAAGCAGTTTAGTCATTTGTATTGTTTTGTTTTGAACTAGGTTATTGTTGATTTCCATTCTGTCTTTTTTTTTTTTTTTTTTGCCAGACTTACATCTGGGTGCTCGATACAATCAATTGGTTAAGTTTTGCTTGCGGTTCTTTGTATTTTGTTCTCTATTTATTTTTTTTTTTAATTGAGATCCCTACCCTATGATCGTTTGTGGTAAGCTATCACTGTCTGTAATACTTCTAAGAGCTGTCACTAAAAAAAAAAAAAAAAAAAAAAAAAAAAACCCAGAAACCCTTGGAGGTGGGGACTGTCCCCCTCCTCGCTGGGCCCCTCAGTTTGAGTGTAAGGGTTGATCTTTCATCGTGATAAGCAATATTCAAGTGCCTTGAACAGCACCCTCTCCGTGGGGTTTGCCTTCAGCTGGCTGGCGTTCCACGCAGTAGCTCCCACAGACGGCCGACCTCCTCCTCCTCACGCTCCATCAGTTTAAAAAGCTGATTTGTACCTCTCCCCTGGGGAAAACGGTTCTGTATAAAACACTAACACTTAATTACAAGCTCCATTATACCATTTTAAATGGCTTCTTTTTTGTTAATTGGAGGCAGTGTTCATAACTTAAGGATTTTGCCATTACTTAGCTGGCTAAGTGGAGGCTCAGCATAAAGCCAGTGTCACGGCCAGCCCCTTGGCCCTTGCATCCTGCCCACCTTCTCTCGTGGTGTCTCAAGCAGAAGGGGTGTGGCTCCTGCCCCAGGCGCACGCCACTGGCTTCCACTGCCCGGCTCCTGAGTGACCGCTTCTCTTGAACTTCTGGATCAAGCAGGGCGTCTGACTTCTGTCCACCAGCCAGACGGCTCGTCTTCAGGATCCTCAGCCACTTACCCTCAGAGCCAGGCTGCCTGGGGCCGTCATCGCCTGAGGCGGCGGATGGTCATCTCCTGGGGCAGGACCAAGGCAGACGTCCGTAGGGGTGCAGGCCTGTGAGGAGGCTCCCAAAACGCCAGGCTCTCTACTCAGTGATTCCAGTCAGCCATGGCCAAGGGTTCTGGGACTTACTTGATTGAACAAAAAGGTCATCGTTCCTGTCCTCCCTGGGACAGTTGCCTGACTTCCAAAGCACAAAGGTCCCCTTCCCAGCCCCCTGCCTGTTGGCACCTTTGTTTACTCCCCACTGGAAAACCTTCCTGTCCTGTCTGGATGTTCGAATGTAGACCTGAGCGCCGCAGAGCTCTGGGTTAAGTGTTCCCCTGTGCTCTCTGGCCGCGGGGTCCCCTCCCAAGCCCAAGGCCCACTATGGAGAAAGGACGCAGGCCCCTGCCGCCCCGGCCGTGACCATGTCAGCCCACAGAGCCGAGCAGAGACAGGCAGCAGGCTGTGTTCCGCCACAGGGAATGCCCACGGCCCCGAGGCCGCGCAGTCCTGCCGCCGAGGTCAGGACTGAGGCCCTGTCCACAGGCTGGCCCCTTGCTGGCTGACCTTGGACCAGCATTCTTTGTTCTCCTGTCAGACAGGCGCAACCCGTGAACTCTAGGGTGTTCTGTGCAATGCTCACTCCCCTGACGTGAAGCTGGCAGAGGAGCCAGGCAGGAGTGTCAGCGTGAGGTTAATACAAAGTAAAACAGTCGTAGCGAGTCCAGAGCCTGAGCTGGGAAGCAGCAGCCTTTGCCTTAAACGCCTACTACAAGCCCACTCTCACAGGCCTGTGTCCGCAGGAATCTGCCCCCGCCCCAGGCTGGCTCTGAGGCCAGTAAGCAAGCCCGCTGCGCAGGACGCGTGGCATGGCCAGGCCCCGGCCTGCAAGGCAGTGGTGCACTGCAGCTGGCCCCTCCCTCGAGGCCTTCCCTTGTCTTCACACTCCACTTGTCCCCTTCTACCTCACTAACCTGTGCTCCCACCTGACATCACTCCTCACCTTGCTCCCCTCAGAACCGTGAGGCCAGGGTTTTCGGGGAGAGAAAAGACTAGGAGCGTGGCATCCGTGTGTGTCTTGGCCTGGTGGGTAGGCTGCTGCTCTCATGGGCACAGCGTGGACACAGCTGAGTTCTGCGAGGCACATATATGGATTCTTCTCTTCCACCTGTTCCTGAAGCTCCAGCAGCTGTTTGATTTGCAGGCAGGGGCGGTCTCGGGCCTCAGAGGCACTTGTTTTGTTTTGGGCCTGCCTTTGCTTTCTGCCTGTTCCTGCTCAGCTGTGAAGATCCATCACAGCCGTCCCCCCCTGCCCTGGACTGCCCCTGAACAGCCATGTGAGGCCCCTTGCCCAGGATTCCTACGTGG